TTGAGTGTACCATGAACCATCACCGATGGTGCGACTGATACACTGACATCAACATAAAAAAACTGCAACTGCAATTGAATGTCGGAATGAAATCTTGAACAGTTTCGGACCAGTGGTGTCAAAATATCGTTGAAACGCAACACTTAACAAAAATTTGAGTGTAATGGCATTTTCATGTAAGAATTGGGAAGTGCAAGTTTGTAAAAGGTAGGATAAACTATGAACACCTAGTAGGTGATGTTGAGTTAATATAATCACATATGGATTACAAAAGTTGCAATAAACATGGAGAAACCTTGAGCTAAACTAACAAAAATGGGTTTTACTGAGCCATCAAGCATTTTTTTTTAAATTTTGGCTCAGTTTTATACAATTTCATAATATTTAATAAACTGAAACCATTTCAATGGCAAGCTGCCATTTCATATTTTACAGTGTTTTGTTTTGAATACTTTGATGCTATTTGCTGCCAAAAATTTGACGGACAGATCTTGAGGCTAATTGGGTATATTTGATGGACTGGTGAATGGTGAAATCCACCGTAAGGTTACCTTCGTCACTCAAACTATCGGCAACATCGTGCTCCTCGATCTCTTGATATTTATTTATCCAGACAGCCATTGCAGTAACATTACATACTCGACATTTCTAATTTGTGTAGTAAATATTAGGTGATACTAGTGACTTAGTGTTAGTTATACAACAGGTAAGCACTAAGATTTAAAGTGTTATTTTTAATACAGCAAGCACCTACCAAGAAAATTATAGCGAAGGCCCGAAGGCTGTAGTTTCCAAAAAGTTTCGTCCGCGAAAGGGCAACAGCAGTCACAGTTGTCAGATCGCTTCCATTTCGCGTGATTCAGTTCGATAATAATAATTAAGTACAGAATGTGTATTATTCTGTGCGTATGTAAATGTGTTCTTTTTTAATTTTTCATTGACTTCGGAAATCGAGGATGAATTTCCACATTTTTTATGTATGTCCAGATTGCATTGTCCAGTGATTATTTGATAACGCTTTGATCGATTGTTATGAATCAAATTATATTCAGTAGAGAGATTCTCTGAGATGGTACTATTGTTAAATAACCGGGAGCGGGTAAAATTAAGTAACTGTTTTCCTTAACGTTGCAGCAATGTTCGCGGATTACTCTGAGATGGATTTTCCGATTTGGACGAATCAAATGCTTTTATTCATTTTATTGACTTTTTTTACTTGTTTCAGCAAAATGTCTGATAAAAAGAAAAAACTAAATACGCTTGATTCTTTTCCCAATCTTCATCCAGAGATTCAGATAATATAAATCATCATGGCATTGCTCACTTTGTAGAACATAAGGCTAATATCGATATTATCAAAGTTATTTCTGACCTTTGGAAGCCTATGGCAAACTTTAAATTTCCGGTTTCAAGCAAGAGGAATCTGAAGTTTCAGTATTGTTGGTTTCATTATTGGAATTGACAAGCATATTATCAAAAAGAAGATGGTGCCTATTGCAAGTTTTGTGTCTTTTATGCAGAAACAGGTGGCGTTGGAAAGTCAGGCTCTTGGGAAACTTGTAAAGGCACCATTTATTGATTGGAAAGATGCCAAAGAGTACCACAAATTTAGGTTGGTGAAATTCAGCCATCAGCATCTAATTGTAGATCAAAAACAGCAATCTGCCGATCTTCAGATTGATGTAGCATCAAGAAATAATATTATAGAAAATAGTACCGATAATAGATGCAATTATTCTTTGTGGGAGGACAGAAACTTTGCAATATTACGAACTAAGCTTAAATCAGGAGATGAAATGCTGCAGCTACACTTACAAAATATGTCGAAGACTGTGACATACCTTCAACAATTCAAAATGAAATTGTTGCAATTTGTGGGAAAATTATTAGGCATAAAATTATTACTAGATTAAAACAGGCAAAATGTTTCTCAGTTCTTGTGGATGAATCTACTGACATATCAGGAATAGAACAGTGCTCTATATATGTGTACGATTTTGTAACAAAGAGACCAGAAAAAATGAAGAACATTTTGTAGGATTTGTTCCTATCATCGATTTAACTGGTCAAGGGCTTGCTAATACAATCCTACAAACATTATAACAATTTGATATTGACTGCTCATTTTTAGTTGGACAAGGATATGACGGCGCATCGGCAATGAGTGGGCATACACTTGGTGCGCAGGCATGGAACCGCAAAAAAATACCTAATATTCTTGTGCACTGTATGTGCATTGCTCTTCGCATTCGCTTAACCTTTCAATATCAGACTCGTGACATAGCGCATATAAGAAATTGTATGGGAGCAATAAATAAAATTGCAGTATTTTTAAATACCCCTTAAAGGCTTAATGTATTTAAGTCGCATATTGATAAAGTGTCTACAGAATCAAAAAAAGAAAAGTTAAAAAAGTTGTGTAACACCAGATGGGTTGAGAGACATGATGCCATACTGACTTTCATGGAGTTGCATGAAGTTACTATCGCCGCTCTTACCGAAATTCAACTAAGGAGAGATAAAGATTATTCCTCTGACTCACTTTCCTTTTTAAAGTCCATCCAAACCTCAGAATTTCAATTTTCGCTAAGAATTATTGCAAAAATATTCGCCATGTACGCTGCCTCTTTCGAAACAACTGCAGACTACCAATGTAGATCTAGGACAGGCCTTAGATTTGGCTGACAATGTTCAAAACAGGCTTTTATCTATCAGGGATAATTCAGAAGACGAGTTCAAGCAAATTTTTAAAGATGCTGAAACTTCCTGTAGAGAAATGAATATATATAGAGATAACTCTTCCAAAAACAAATTCTCGTCAAACTCAAAGAGTCAATGCCTGAAGAATATTCTAGAAGAGCATATTTTATACCCTTTGCCGATTCTAGTATCAGTCATCTTAAAGAGAGGTTGTTAAAGCACAAAAACATTGTACAAGGATTCGAAATACTTTTACCAAATAAACATTTTAATGAAGATGGCCTAGAGAAACTGAATGATTTTTATGGATACCTTGCAGCTTCGAAACTGTACTCGGCTAAGTAAAACTTTGGCGTCAGCTTTTGGAAGATCTGGAAAATCTCCCACAAGATGCTTTAAGCTGTTTAACATTCCTTTTCGAAACCGGCAAGTACGAATATTTTCCTAATGTTGCTGCTTTACGACAGCGTCAAACGAACGCACCTTTCCGAGGTTGCGGCGATTAAAGACATACATTATGCCAGGATCGACTAAATGGATCGTCTTTACTGAATATTTACCGAGAAGTTTCTGTTTCCGCGCAAGAAGTTATAGATGAATTCGCCTGGTCTACACGAAAACTTCTTTTGTTATAAAGTGACTGACGATCAAAAAAAAAATATTTTTGATTAGTTAACTCTTAAAAGGATGTTACTTATTTTTATTTAAAACTGTATTTTAATGCTAACTTCATTCATTTTACCAAAGAATATGTTTTCAGTTCAAATAAACATTATTTATGGTCTTTTGTTTTATTTAATATATAGGTCTTAAAAAATTCATAATTTACGAAAGGGTGGCTGCGCCAGATTAGCGCATCTTGTCTAGGCCACTTTTCATGGTGGGTAAACCCCCCCCAAAAGGAATTTCTGGATACGCCACTTGATAACTCTGAAAGTATTTACTATCAGGATTTTGATGAAATTTTGACCCTAGGTTACTTCTATGAAAATGACGAAAAAGCTCTACACTTTTTGAAAATCGGTAAAGTGGCGGCGGAGTTATCATCGGAAAACAAACAAAACACGGCCAAACTTCGTTTTTCGACATATTCTGAAGCTTCTGACAGACTAAGTTTTGGTCGCTGAAGACAGATCTGAAATTATTTTTCGGCGCTCGAAAAAATTGTTTCATCTTTCATTTTGTATAAATTTTCTTCGGTTGTGAAGGTTCAACTGCGACACTGACACCGATAATAGGCGTTGGCGCCACCATGCGTCGAGGCTAAAAAGTTCATCGCATCGTGTAGGAGATACAAATCAAATTCAAGCGGATAACCAAATGGAAATGGTATTTACCATTTTGGGTTGGTATTTACCGATCCGTTCAAGCGAGTGTAGTTATCAGTTTGATTATAAGATCCGTGACGTCACGAGTCAGCTGTTATATGTCATAGTTATCACCGCAAAATTGTGGTATTTACCCAACTCAAGAGTAGTTTTATATTACTGGTTATTATTTGAAATGTGACAAGTTACAATTTTGCCTAGTATTGGATATTATTAGTGTACTTCAGCTTCATTTTTGGGAAACTTGATTGAGCCTGACTTCAGTTTCACCATAAAGTGGAGCACCTTATTAGTACGGTTGTTGGGGACACTTTAAATGTAGTTCCTATGCTTAACAAAGTATCCTGTGTAGCCATATACCACAAGAATATTAAAATATGGCCATATAAACTCACTCGATGATATCCACCTGTATACGGTTTTGCTAATTTCTTTTGTCATCATTTCTGCTGAATCAATAAATGTTTTCTTTGACATGCGGAAAATTTTAGAGAATTGAAAGTTATCATAGCTACAAAGCCACGGTTCGATCATTAAAAAAAAAATCTGAAAAAAAAAAACATTTCTCCCATGAATATTATGAAAGGTTTCTTATTTAAACGTTCCATACACAGTTGTAGACGAAAAAGCATCGATTATTAAGTGATAATAAAAATAATCAGAGATTATATACGCGCTTTTCTAAAATAAACAACTTGCAACAAAACCGCGGTTAAAACCAACGCGTTCAAGCGATTCGTGTAACTGACGTCATCAACCTGTGTGTCATCTTGAACCCAATTATAACCACGGCACATAACACAGAAATTTTGGTTATTCGCTTGGATTTGATTACACTTGCCAATTGTGGTGTGTTGAACGTTGTAAACAACGTTATACACAACATTGTATACAACGTTGGAGGTAATCTGTGGGACCCGCATTACTGGCAAAATGTAGTGTCATTTCTGATTTGACACTCAGCAGTTTCACGATGCTATGTCCATCTGTAGCCCAACAGCACCATCACCGGACAGCGTGGCCACGTTTCGAGCAGTTCTCTATGCTTTAATGAAGCGACACCCACCCGTCTACCCAGATACAACTTGGAAAAATCGAACGAGTACATTGCTGTATATACCAGCTTACCAGCCTGCACAGTCGAACGTCGCATCTGTGGTAGAGAACACGTGTGATATAGACAATGTTGACACGTCCTGTTACCGACTACGGATTTTAAACTTTTTGGAACTAAACCATTTTGTATCTCTCAGACGATATTAAGATTGTTTTTTATTCAGTTGGTGCAATGTCCTCTTGGCAATGTTATTGCTGTTATCCGTTTTAGCACGGGTAAAATGAACAATTGATATGTGACAGATTGAGCGGAGTGGATAGCATTTTGTTTTCGTTTTGAAAGAGTGAATGTTCAGTGGACGGTGTTGTGCGATACGTAGTAGAAAAACGGAGGAATTGTCTGTGTATTGCAGTTCACATTTCAATCAATACTATAGGGCAGTGTTGCCGTGTACAGGTAGATCATCGGCAACATCGCTCAGCTGATATTGGAACTTAGACCGCGCACCGCACAGGGAGACGAATTTCAGTAATACCTCATAGTAAGTATTTGTTGTGAATGCAGGTATTTTTTGTACACAGATCGATGGGTCATCCTCATGATGGGAAGTGTATATGTGAATTACAAGTTTGCAAGGAGGCCATATAGTTGGCAGTGTTGACACCCTGGTTGATCGACTTTTGTAACTGCCGTGACCAACCACATACAACATTGTTTCATGCTTACTAGCAATCATTAGTATGGTATAGGTCTAGTCTTGGAGAACAGGCAAACTGAGAGCAAACAAACGGACATGGTCACTAATAAACTCGGTATTTAATGCACGACTAGATGACATCGAATTTACTCATAGGTGGCAGTGTCACGACCTATGTTGTTATATTTTATTTTTTGTCCATAATCTCAGGGCTACGGCAGTGAGCAAGTGTTAGGCAGCACCCTCAGGGTGCAATGACATGGAGGGCGGAAAATTGCGCTCAAGGCAGTGGCGGCTCGTGCCAATTCAGTGAGGTAGTGCCAGAATGGAAGCCATAATTTTGAATCGATTCAAAATTGTAAAGAATAACTTATAACTTACCCCTGATAGTTAGTGGTCAAAGTTCTTGAGGTTCAATAAATCTATATGTCCAAAAAAAAATCAAAAATAAAACTATTTACACACGCGCACCAAATTATAAAACAAGTGTGGAGAAGTACCTATAACTTCAAAGTTTTCTATATATGAAGTCCATTCTTCTTTCTTTTTTGGTAGCAAAGTTTTCGATTACCTTATTATTAAAATTTTCAATGCCACTAACAAAATGTTTTTCTGCAGACAGCATTCCTAAAGCACTAAGCCTTTCTTCCTTCATTGTGTTTCTGAGGAAAGTTTTAATCCGTTTCAGCATTGAAAAAGAGCGTTCTGCTTCAGATGTTGACATCGGTATAGTGATTAAAATACTTAAGAGCTTAAGAGTTTCTTGAAATGTACAATTTAATCCTTCCTCGTTCAATAAAATGGATAGTGGAACAGCTCCAGAAGTAGTACTCAATTCTTCTCTCTGATATAATACTTGTAACTCAGTTTTAAGCCTGTTTTTGTCTAAAAATGAAAATTGTGTGCATGTGTCATTTAAATGTGCTTCAGGAAACTGATGTTTATAAACAGAAAACTTTTCAGACACAAATAAATTAGAAGCAACTAAATGCCCAGAAAAGTTAAATCTTGTTCTTATTTGCGATAATACTGCATCGCATATTTCTAACGCTTCCCGTTTTTTGCTGCCTTCTTCAACTTGCCTTTTTTTTCTTGCCGGTTCATCAGTTTCTCTCTGCACTCGTTCAATCTCGTCAATAATGCTATCCATTTGTTCTCGTATAGTTTGAATTGCTGCTTGAAAATTTTCTAAATCATTTTTGACCTTTACAGAATCGGTGCATACTTTTTGTAATTGGTTAAAGACAATTTCAACATGTGGCATTCACATTGAGTGTTGCACGTGTGATACGTGATATCGTGAAGTTGGTGGATGAAGTGAACAAGTGCCTAGGCATATCAAAAATTTCATGTGCGAGCATGCTGGCTATTAACGGTTATATTTAATCGAAAATAACAAAAGGTAAGCAGTACCCGGCCGAAATCGACAATTTCACTATTCTATCAACTGAAATAAAAAATGACAGGGAGATCGTTAAAATATGCGTGTTTTTTGGCATTATATTCTTTTAGGCGCAATCGGAACAATTGTGCTATATATGCCAAATGTACTCGACTCAGTATTTCAAATTTTCTGCGTCCGATATTGGTCGGGCTGGTGATGATGTGCAGTTTCAACAAGCAATGGGTTCAGAGAATAAACAACTGGCTTAGATATCGTAGTGCCCGCGATTACCAACTAGAGGTGATATCTAAAACCGACAAAGAACTGCTCAAAGATGGGCATCCGCAAGACATTTCCCAATTTACCACGTACCACAAAATTGCATCCGAAACAAAACGCGGGAACAGACTGCTGCTCAGTTCGCGGGACTTATCCGATTTGTTTCAATATTGCATTAAGCAGCATAACCAGCTTGACCCTTATTTGCGATATGTCGCTAGCAGTTCTCCTCTAATACCGAATGCCAGTTAACATAGTTCCACCTAGAGGAGCAATTATACATTTTGAAGCAACAGGGTCTGATTGCCGCAAACCTCAAAGTTTTAAAAAAAATAATAACTACAGTATCGACCTGAGATGTCATCAGTCGACAATTCCTATTGCCGAACTGATCACATCGCAACAAAACATCTGCTCTATATCTTTGTTTTTAAAAATGTATTGAGTATCGCCTTCAATAAGGTATATAAATGGCCACTGGTGCGGGCGGTGGTCATCCACTGGAGCACCGTAAAAAACATTTGGTCAATTATTAGAAATATAATTTTTTTTGTGAGAACGCCACGTAAACCCACCCTAACCCTAAAAAATTATGTTCCGGACCCCGCTCGAGCGATCGACTATCATGGGCTATTAGAACACGTTAAGTTGACCGGATATCAGTGAAAAAATTTTGGGCGTAAAGCGATTTTGAAAAATGACAGGTGTTTTTTCGAATTCTGATCGAAGTGCGGATCGGGGTGTTCCGGACCCCCCTGGGAGAAACGGCTTGGTGGGATGTTAGAACATGTTAAATAAACACGATTCGCACAAAAAAATTTTGGGCGTAAGCCAATTTTTTTGAAATATAATTTTTTTAGCGCGAACGCCATGTAAACCCACCCTAACTCTGAAAAAGTATGTTCCGGACCCCGCTCGAGCGATCGACTATCATGGGCTGTTAGAACACGTTAAGTTGACCGGATATCAGTGAAAAAATTTTGGGCGTAAAGCGATTTTGAAAAATGACAGGTGTTTTCTCGAAATCTGATCGAAGTGCGGATCGGGGTGTTCCGGACCCCCCTGGGGGAAACGGCTTGGTGGGATGTTAGAACATGTTAAATAAACACGATTCGCACAAAAAAATTTTGGGCGTAAGCCAATTTTTTTGAAATATAATTTTTTTAGCGCGAACGCCATGTAAACCCACCCTAACTCTGAAAAAGTATGTTCCGGACCCCGCTCGAGCGATCGACTATCATGGGCTGTTAGAACACGTTAAGTTGACCGGATATCAGTGAAAAAATTTTGGGCGTAAAGCGATTTTGAAAAATGACAGGTGTTTTTTCGAATTCTGATCGAAGTGCGGATCGGGGTGTTCCGGACCCCCCTGGGGGAAACGGCTTGGTGGGATGTTAGAACATGTTAAATAAACACGATTCGCACAAAAAAATTTTGGGCGTACGCCAATTTTTTTGAAATATAATTTTTTTAGCGCGAACGCCATGTAAACCCACCCTAACTCTGAAAAAGTATGTTCCGGACCCCGCTCGAGCGATCGACTATCATGGGCTGTTAGAACACGTTAAGTTGACCGGATATCAGTGAAAAAATTTTGGGCGTAAAGCGATTTTGAAAAATGACAGGTGTTTTCTCGAAATCTGATCGAAGTGCGGATCGGGGTGTTCCGGACCCCCCTGGGGGAAACGGCTTGGTGGGATGTTAGAACATGTTAAATAAACACGATTCGCACAAACAAATTTTGGGCGTAAGCCAATTTTTTTGCAATATAATTTTTTTAGCGCGAACGCCATGTAAACCCACCCTAACTCTGAAAAAGTATGTTCCGGACCCCGCTCGAGCGATCGACTATCATGGGCTGTTAGAACACGTTAAGTTGACCGGATATCAGTGAAAAAATTTTGGGCGTAAAGCGATTTTGAAAAATGACAGGTGTTTTCTCGAAATCTGATCGAAGTGCGGATCGGGATGTTCCGGACCCCCCTGGGGGAAACGGCTCGGTGGGATGTTAGAACATGTTAAATAAACACGATTCGCACAAAAAAATTTTGGGCGTAAGCCAATTTTTTTGAAATATAATTTTTTTAGCGCGAACGCCATGTAAACCCACCCTAACTCTGAAAAAGTATGTTCCGGACCCCGCTTGAGCGATCGACTATCATGGGCTGTTAGAACACGTTAAGTTGACCGGATATCAGTGAAAAAATTTTGGGCGTAAAGCGATTTTGAAAAATGACAGGTGTTTTTTCGAATTCTGATCGAAGTGCGGATCAGGGTGTTCCGGACCCCCCTGGGGGAAACGGCTTGGTGGGATGTTAGAACATGTTAAATAAACACGATTCGCACAAAAAAATTTTGGGCGTAAGCCAATTTTTTTGAAATATAATTTTTTTAGCGCGAACGCCATGTAAACCCACCCTAACTCTGAAAAAGTATGTTCCGGACCCCGCTCGAGCGATCGACTATCATGGGCTGTTAGAACACGTTAAGTTGACCGGATATCAGTGAAAAAATTTTGGGCGTAAAGCGATTTTGAAAAATGACAGGTGTTTTCTCGAAATCTGATCGAAGTGCGGATCGGGATGTTCCGGACCCCCCTGGGGGAAACGGCTCGGTGGGATGTTAGAACATGTTAAATAAACACGATTCGCACAAAAAAATTTTGGGCGTAAGCCAATTTTTTTGAAATATAATTTTTTTAGCGCGAACGCCATGTAAACCCACCCTAACTCTGAAAAAGTATGTTCCGGACCCCGCTCGAGCGATCGACTATCATGGGCTGTTAGAACACGTTAAGTTGACCGGATATCAGTGAAAAAATTTTGGGCGTAAAGCGATTTTGAAAAATGACAGGTGTTTTTTCGAATTCTGATCGAAGTGCGGATCAGGGTGTTCCGGACCCCCCTGGGGGAAACGGCTTGGTGGGATGTTAGAACATGTTAAATAAACACGATCTGCACAAAAAAATTTTGGGCGTAAGCCGATTTTTTTGAAATATAATTTTTTTAGCGCGAACGCCATGTAAACCCACCCTAACTCTGAAAAAGTATGTTCCGGACCCCGCTCGAGCGATCGACTATCATGGGCTGTTAGAACACGTTAAGTTGACCAGATATCAGTGAAAAAATTTTGGGCGTAAAGCGATTTTGAAAAATGACAGGTGTTTTCTCGAAATCTGATCGAAGTGCGGATCGGGGTGTTCGGGACCCCCCTGGGGGAAACGGCTTGGTGGGATGTTAGAACATGTTAAATAAACACGATTCGCACAAAAAAATTTTGGGCGTAAGCCAATTTTTTTGAAATACAATTTTTTTAGCGCGAACGCCATGTAAACCCACCCTAACTCTGAAAAAGTATGTTCCGGACCCCGCTCGAGCGATCGACTATCATGGGCTGTTAGAACACGTTAAGTTGACCGGATATCAGTGAAAAAATTTTGGGCGTAAAGCGATTTTGAAAAATGACAGGTGTTTTTTCGAATTCTGATCGAAGTGCGGATCGGGGTGTTCCGGACCCCCCTGGGGGAAACGGCTTGGTGGGATGTTAGAACATGTTAAATAAACACGATCTGCACAAAAAAAATTTGGGCGTAAGCCGATTTTTTTGAAATATAATTTTTTTAGCGCGAACGCCATGTAAACTCACCCTAACTCTGAAAAAGTATGTTCCGGACCCCGCTCGAGCGATCGACTATCATGGGCTGTTAGAACACGTTAAGTTGACCGGATATCAGTGAAAAAATTTTGGGCGTAAAGCGATTTTGAAAAATGACAGGTGTTTTCTCGAAATCTGATCGAAGTGCGGATCGGGGTGTTCCGGACCCCCCTGGGGGAAACGGCTTGGTGGGATGTTAGAACTTGTTAAATAAACACGATTCGCACAAAAAAAATTTGGGCGTAAGCCAATTTTTTTGAAATATAATTTTTTTAGCGCGAACGCCATGTAAACCCACCCTAACTCTGAAAAAGTATGTTCCGGACCCCGCTCGAGCGATCGACTATCATGGGCTGTTAGAACACGTTAAGTTGACCGGATATCAGTGAAAAAATTTTGGGCGTAAAGCGATTTTGAAAAATGACAGGTGTTTTCTCGAAATCTGATCGAAGTGCGGATCGGGGTGTTCCGGACCCCCCTGGGGGAAACGGCTTGGTGGGATGTTAGAACATGTTAAATAAACACGATCTGCACAAAAAAATTTTGGGCGTAAGCCGATTTTTTTGAAATATAATTTTTTTAGCGCGAACGCCATATAAACCCTCCCTAACTCTGAAAAAGTATGTTCCGGACCCCGCTCGAGCGATCAACTATCATGGGCTGTTAGAACACGTTAAGTTGACCGGATATCAGTGAAAAAATTTTGGGCGTAAAGCGATTTTGAAAAATGACAGGTGTTTTTTCGAATTCTGATCGAAGTGTGGATCGGGGTGTTCCGGACCCCCCTGGGGGAAACGGCTTGGTGGGAAGTTAGAACATGTTAAATAAACACGATTCGCACAAAAAAATTTTGGGCGTAAGCCAATTTGTTTGAAATATAATTTTTTTGCGCGAACGGCATGTAAACCCACCCTAACCTTGAAAAAGTATGTTCCGGACCCCGCTCGAGCAAACGACTACCATGGGCTGTTAGAACACGTTAAGTTGACCAGATATCCGCGAAAAAATTTTGGGCGTAAGGTGATTTTCAACAATTACGGGTTTCCGATCTGATTCAACATAGTAATTTTTTATATCTATATATTTTTTTGGAGGTAAACCACGAGTTAATGCCATGTCCACTCAAGGACACTTGAGGTATGTTTGTCTTATGCGATTAACGCAAAAACCGCATTTTTTCATTATAATTTTCACGAAATAATAACTTTTTCGCGTTACTCACAACTTTGGGGATGTTTTTGGGGAAGGGGGGCTAGACTTCAATGACACATAAAAACACATAAAATAAACGATACTGCATGAAAACCGCATTGATTTACGCACATTTAAAGCCAAACGACGTGGTTGTACGTTGAAATGACAAATTTTGTGCACTGCTGCCTTTATAACGTTTTCGATCGCGCACGATCGATCGGTTCTTCAGCCACATGCATTATTTTATGGAAAATACTTGGCCAAAATACAAAATTTGTATCTTGCAGCTTTAATTTGTACCCACTGGCTTGATTAATCGACGAAGAATCGCGTGAAGTACTTTCTATATTGTCCAAAACTTCAATCAGGTCTTTCCTATTTTCAACACCTCGTGACTGAAAATTCCAACGTGTTTGGGAAGATCTTGGCAATCTGCGATTAACTATTTCATCCAAAATGTTTGTCCTTTGAGGAGACGTCGAAAAAAAAGAGCACAATCCAGATAAATTATGGAAAAATATTCTAGCCTGCTTATTGACAGAGCATGCGCTTGTCATAATTAGATTTAACTGGTGTGCATAGCAATGAACATAATTTGCAAGTGGATAAGTTTCCTTAATAATTTTTTGAACGCCATTCAATTCACCACTCATAACAGACGCACCATCATAGCTTTGAGCTATTAATTTGTTTGGATTTTGATCTAGTAATGGATTTACAACATTTAAAACGCATGCAGCGATTGATTTGGCATCGTGTCCGTCGGGGACGTAAAATCTCCAAAATCTCTCAACTGGTTGTCCTTTACACAAATATCTGAAAATAATAACTAACTGAAATTCACAGACTACGTCCGTAGTTTCATCGGCAATTACTGCAACAAAAGGAGAATTTGCAATCTCCTTCTTAACTTCTTCATGATAAACATCTAGCATGAACTCAAGAAGCTCGTTTGAGTTGTTTTTGAGGTACCCTTAAAAAGTTTGGCACTTTGAATATGGACTTTCAATTCGTTGTCTTAATTCGGCGCTAAAATTCACCAGCTCCTCAAATATGCCTCTGTTTTCCGAATTTTCCTTTTCATCATGACCCCATAAGGCTAACTCAAATGCTCCACAAAACCTTATACAATTAATAATTTTATTCAATACATATCGATTCTTATCCACTTGATTATTATGTTTAATTAAATCATTGCGATAAGCCGAATTGAGTTGAGTCCTTATATTTAATTTAACAAGAATAGAAAAGCTAAAAACAATGGGTGATATTCATAAAGGTGAGTGGGTTCTCAGAAGTAGCGACTCCATATTGTAGCGAGTAACTCCTCCTGTTAGGGAGAGCCTACTCGGTTTTGATATGCATAAAATATTTATCGAGAAACGAAGAGGCTACTCAAGTTCTAATCAAATACTTGAGTAGGCACTCTGGTTTTCGAGTTTCGACTTGTATTTTGTTGTCTCGCCGAATTGGCAATTTCTCTATTGCGAGCAGCTACTACTGTATACCGGTAAACGTTTGTGTCGGTGGTGTTTAGGTCGATTATTATTTGTTCATTTACATGATGTCAAGCTATTCTGAAGACCATTCATCTGAAAATCAAACAGTATTTGTTAATATAATTAAACAGTATCCTGTTTTGTTGGAAAAATCTAACATCCCGGAAATCAAAAATAAACGACGAAAGGCGGTTGAAGAAATAAAAGAAACGGTAGAAGCCGAATTAGGAGTTAAATATAATGAAGGGCAGATTTGGAAGAAGATTCAAAACATAAAAACCAGATTAAAAGCGAAGACAGACAGAAATCATACCGGAAACAAACCAATAAAATTGAAAGGATGGGAACAAGAACTGCTCAATTTTCTACAAGGAGAATCAAATCCTAGTATTGCTCGATTGCAATGTTAATTGTATTTTTGGTTTTTCCATACAGTAGGTATAAGATGTGATTGAGTATAATATATATATATATATATATATATATATATATACATGTCAATAAATATAAATAGCATATATTTTAAATTTTAGGTGCTGTTGTGGCAGGTTGCCCACAAAAAAAGCGTTGATTACACTCCTATGCTGAAGAAGAAACAATCACCGAAGAAGCATCTGGAAGTGCAGGACCAGTACTGAACGCTACCACAATGAAAGCCGGACCCAGTAAGGAGCCTTCTAAAAAAAAGGAAAACGAGGATTAGTGGAAACCGATGAAACACGAGATTTATCAATAACAGAGCTCCAACGTCTCGTTTTACTTGAACAACTACAAGTATTTCGGCTAGCTAAGGAACTGCTACTTCACAAGAAAAATATTAATGAATTTGATCCAAATTTATCAACTTTAAATGAAAGTGCAGAAATTGGAAATCCAATTTTCATGAGCCTATTTCCAGGACAGAACTGACAGAAATACTTCATGTTTCATAACTGTTATTTTTTATTAATTTTAAGGACTTTCTCTTAACTTACCATTTTGAAAATGTTATTAATTTTGTCATGAGTAATTAAACATCGTTCTTCAACGTATATCTACATAATTTTTAAATTTGGATCATGCTAGATACTTACTTAGACCCGAAAGCCATGAATAATTCTTGACATTGCATCTCTTCTAAATTGACCTCTCTGACGTATCACTCCATTATGGATTTCTTCTTGTTCGCCATCTCCCGGTATATCAACAGCAAAATCTTCATATTCGACTTCTGCACACTGCATGTTATAACGTTGGTAACGGTACCGTAGATTGATGGACACCAATATCTTCTCCTATGCCAATTTGAAATCCTGGATCACCCACATATCTTAAAAAAACCCTCATTCTTTCTATATTGCTCAAAACACCGCCCCTATATTCTTCTGTCTCTCCAAGAAAATGGTTACTTATTTAAATTACTTATTTTAACTTTACTAAACCGATATAAGGCCCGATAGTCTACTTCCCTTGATTCCCTACGATGTTTAAACACCTTCGTAGGCTGATAAATAGGCATAAATTCGGCCATTTCGTGAAGGCATCCACTTCTTATAAAGCTGAGTCTACTACTAAGGTATCTCGCATTTCTTTAAGTATGTACTCAGCGGTCGGAGTGGACGCTCGCTTTTATGCATATAAAAATTGAAGTCGGCACTCAAGGAGCGAGCACAGCCTCACGGAAAGAGTAGAAACTTATGAGTGTGAGCTTCTACTTACATTTTTATGCATCTCAAATGGAGTGGCTACTTTAAAAATGCGATTCAAAAGTAGCCACTCGCCTTTATGCATATCACCCATTATTCATATGGACTTTAGATTTTTCGTGGGTCTTCATTTTATCCCATATATGTATAAGATCGTCTGTACCTTTTTTTGACGAAGTCTCGTCACCTCCAAATAGAACACATACAAAACAAAATAGTTTATTCGTTTCTTCACAACTACATATCCAGCTGTTTTTATCGTACACATTTTTATTAAATTTGCGACAGCGCGATTTTTGTCCGCTACCACTTTGTTTCTCAATTTTTAAATCGGGTATTGGCCGTCCTAATTCTTTAATTTGCAGTTTTTGATCCAGCGAAAAACCACTAAATGAGTTTTTTAATATCCCGATTTTATTCATTTTCACTAGTTTTAATAAAACAGTAAAAAATATGATCACAAAACAGAGCAGTTCATTAACACTAGACGTACTAAAACAAAAACGTTATTTCTCACTTTTCAGGTAAAAAAAGACCGAAATCAGCACTAGACGTAATCATAACGAAACGACCGACCGAACAAAAACACCGCCGATATCATTTGATAACGAATTACGACTGATGATGTGCCTGGCACAAATTATACTTGTCTTTCGCTATTCACCTCATATAAAAATGTGTATTGTAGCGTTATCTCTGTCGCTCGTATGCGATGCTGGTAAAATTTCTCTCGTTTTATTTGGGCCGGCCCAAAATTGGCACAAGTTGATGACGTCAAGGTCAAGGCATGCTTTCCGTCTCGTCGCGTCGGTGGGGTGCGGGCGGGTGCTTGCGGTGTTGTCACGTTGTCAGTGTTGTCACTTCATATAATTTATACCAAAAAAAATGAAAAAGCAGAAAATAAAGTAAAACATTGAAGATTGAAAAAAATATTCTTTTTGAAGAAGACAAGGTAGTACCGTGGCAATACCTCACGAGCCGCCACTGGCTCAAGGGGATCCAGGGGAGTCACGGAGGTCAGTTCAGAGGGTGATGGTACACTTAACATAACCACGTGTTTAGGGGTTATTGCTGGTTTAACGTGTATACGACAGTGTAATATGTAATTCTGCAATAAAAAATCTTGGAAAATGGAAATTTGTTTTTCCAAAATACCATTTTCCAGCAATACCTCGACGTTAAATATCAACACAGAACAAGTAACCACAAGACATATAAATCGAATTCAAGCGTATAACCAAATGAAAATGGTATTTAAAATTTCGGATTGGTATTTACCGATACGTTCAAAGAGTGTGGTTATGAGTTTGGTTATAAGATTTGTGACGTCATGAATCAGCTGTTATATGTCATAGTTACCACCGAAAAGTTGTAGTATTTACCCAACTCAGGTATAGCTACATATTTCTGGTTATTATTTGAAATGTGACAATTTTGCAGGGTATTGGATATTTTTGTTGTACTTCAGCTTCATTTTTGGGAAATTTGATTCAGGCTGACTTCAGTTGTATCATAAAGTAGAGCACCTTATTAGTTATACTCATTACTGTTGTTGGGGACACTTTAAATCTAGTTCCTATGCTTAAAAAAGTATCATGTGTAGCCACATACCACAAGAATATTAAAATATGGTCATATAAACGCACTGGATAATGTCCACCTATATACGGTTTTGCTAATATCTTTTTTCACCGCTTTTTCCTATCATTTCTGCTAAATCAATAAATGTTTTCTTTGACATGCGGAAAAGTTCAGAGAATTGAAAGTTATTATAGCTACAAAGTCATGGTTCCATCATTAAAAATTATTTTCTGAAAAAAAAAACATTTCTCCCATTAATATTATGAAAGGTTTGTTTTTTCCATCACTGTTGTCGATGAAAAAGCACCGCTTATTAAGTGTTAATAAAAATAATCAGAAATTATATACGCGCTTTTATAAAATAAATAACTTGCAACCCGTGTGTCATCTTAAACCATATTATAACCGCGGTACATAATACAGACATTTTGGTTATTCGCTTGGATTTGATTATATCAGGTCATCGTTGGTTGTCAGAGCGGTCCGTGGGACCTTTGCTCTTGAGTTTGTAAGTCTGTCAGGTCTGGTACCCCAGAAACCAGACAATTTTAAGGAAAAAAGGGGAAGGAAAGGAGAGAAGGAAGAACGAGAGCAAAGGGGAAGAAGAGAATCTTTTAGGATAGGCAGCGTTTAGGCATTGTTAAAATCACTTCACAGATTTTGGTATGGTCTAAAAATATTTGATTTTTTTTTCTAAAGATTGTGTAAAAATGCTCCAATTTTGGTTGTTCTAAGTTCACGAATTAATTTTGATTACAGTGCGAGCCGCGGCCTTTTGTGCTTGCGAACTTGCTCGACTGTGTAGTCCACTGACTCACGCAACAGAGGGTTGCTGAGCGATTCCGCGATTTGATTATATACTGCAGACTGCAGTGACGTTGGAAAAAGACCACGGAAGATCGATTACTGATAACAGGATAGAATATGGAATGGATGCGAATTTTGACAGCGCTGCGTTGCCATATTTCGCCACCTTAGTGGTGTATAGTCACATCGTTGTTGACAATTTTGAAGTATTATTAACATCTGAATCATACACTTTAGAGCTCAAAAGTTTTATGAGTATGAAAATAAAAAATTAAAACGCTACAAAAATTCAGATTTATATATATTTATATTTTATTTATTATGTTGTTTTAGAAAATACTGTTTTAGTCACTGTTTTTGTTCATTTTTTGTTTTTGATTATTTATTGTTTGTTTTTTCAGAATGTATTGTTTTAGTTACGTTTTTGTTTATTTGTTGTTTTTGATTATTTATTGTATATCACTTATTAACTCATTTTAAGCAAATATACATTTCTATTTTTTCTATTTTCATTGTCATAAAACTTTTTAGATCTAACGTGTATGATTCACATGTTATGTTTCAAATCACAGTCAACCACGATGTGACAATACACCTCTCAGGTGGTGAAATATGGCAACGCAGCGCTGTCCTGTGATCGATAATCAATCTTCTGTGGTCTATTCTCCAACGTCAATGTGGCTGAAGAACCGATCGATCGAGCGCGATCGAAAGCGTTATAAAGGCATTGCATTGCAACATACAACACGGAATTTGGCTTTAAATATGCGTAAATCGATGCGGTTTTCACATAATAATGTTTATTTTGTGTGTTTTTATGTATTGTGCGAGTGTACCCCTCCTCCCCAACTTCAAAATTGGGGGGTAACGGGAAAAAAATTGAAATGTTGCAAAAATAATAATAAACACCTGCGGATTTGAACTTAATAGCTTAATAGCATGAGACAGCTATACATTATGTCTCTAGTAATCGATGTCGCGCTACATGGCCTACAGCCCCCCCCCCCCAAAGTACCCCCTACGTCAATTTTGTTATTAAACACATCGAAAACACGCTTATCATTTGCGAAAAGCGATTTAGGTCCAGGATTTTATTGCACGTATCTCGTAGAATTATGCTACTCTAGCAGTCCTAAAAGCGGCTTTGCCGAGTGTACCCCGGAACATTGTTTTTCAGCCCCTAGGGCACTTAACGCAGTGTATATACGAAAAAATCATAATTTTCCAAAATCGAGTTAGGTCCAGGATTTTTTTCCATAAATTGTGATTACGTACTTATCATATTCTAACCACCCACCAAGCGGTTTGCACCAATGAAGTCCGGAAGGACCCTATCCGCAATTCGATCAGAATTCGATCAGACACCTGTCATTTGTGAAAATCGACTTAGGTCCAATGTGGCAACCACGCAATTTGGCTTTAAATATACGTAAATCGATGCGGTTTACACATAATAATGTTTATTTTATGTGTGTTTATGTATTGTGCGAGTATACCCTCCTCCCCAAGAGGAACTTCAAAATTGGGGGGTAACGGGAAAGAATTGAAATGTTGCAAAAATAATAATATACACCTGCGGATTTGAACTTAATAGCATGATACAGCTATACTTTATGTCTCTTGTAATCGATGTCGCGTTACATGGCCTACAGCCCCCCAAAATACCCCCTACCTCAATTTTAATATTAAACACATCGAAAACACGCTCATCACTTTCGAAAATAGACCAGGATTTTATTGTACATGTATCTCGTAGAATGATCCTACCCTAGCAGCCCACAAAACGGCTTTGCCGAGAGAGCCCCGGAACATTGTTTTTCAGCCCCTAGGGCACTTGACGCGGTGTATATACGAAAAAAGTCATAATTTTCCAAAATTGAGTTAGGTCCAGGAGTTTTTTCGATATATCGTGATTATTGACAAGGCATGTTCGCCACTGACTTTTGTGCAATTTTTATTATGTTCTTTAGATTAAGCAAATAGAAATACAACGTTTTTGTCTCTTAAATTTTGTTCGTATCTTGCTTAGTTTTCGACAATAAAAGTCCACTTAATTGCATATCGCGGGACCACACATAAGGAATATGGGGAAAAGTTTGTTTTGGAAATAATTTATTTATATTTTTTTACTAATTCTGTAATAACAGCAACAAATACTAAATGACATTAACATAATTAGTAATAAAAAATTATGAAAAAAATAATTCCCAAAAGAAACGTTTCCTCATATTCCTTCTGCAGTCCAGGTGGACTTTATTTTTATAAGGTAATAAAGCAAGATACGAAAATTCAAGACACAAAAAAGTTGTATTTCTATTTGTAAGTTAGTGGCGTACATTTTTTTGTCACAAATATTCGTTCAGATCTCACTCGAGACGCCACTGGACTTATTAAATTCAATCAGGTTAGGGCTAAATTAGCTCCTTACTGTTATATAATTTGGTAAAGGATATTTAAATTATTTAAATTTTAACACCGTGTATCTTGAGAACGCAGAATGTCTTAAAATTACTCAAGTATTCGTCTGTTATATTTATGGTGCATACTCAATTAACAAACATCCTGTGTGTATAGACTAATTTGTTCCGCTCGGTATTTTTTTGTTGAGGCGCACATGCTATCCAATGCAAATAATCGGGCAGGGTATTAGACGTCTCCCATTTGACTAAGTTTTAAAATTGATCTTGACGTGATACTTAAAATTGGAAAAAAACGCCGACTTTCATTTTTATGGTTCTAGAGGTATAAGAATCGTAATTAAGTTATTTATAAAAATAATTTGCTTATACTATGGTTTGCAACGATAATCAGTAATAAAAAATACCAACATTTCATTTGAACGCGCGTCTCTTAATTTTTTGCACTTTTACTACTAGAGCTGAACCTAATAGAATTCATTATCACAACTGTTGACAGCAATGGAATGCGAGGAATATTGCAGACTTGTTTGAGACCTCCCATAGTGGCGTGACGATTTCCACTTCGGGAAGGGTTAAAAAG